TGATGGAGGAGGAAGGGGGGCGTCGTGGGACAGAGGCCTCCTGATCCTGGATCTGGCAGGACTGACCCCCACCTCCAAGTCTCTGGGCCACCTTCTTCCTTGGAAGGAGACCATCTTGTCCCCTGGACGACTGTCACTTCAGCAGCTCTGAGGACTGCATCAGGTCTGCAAGTTCCTGCCAGCCTCTCCTATAGGATGTGGGCTTTGAGGCATGAACCACTCCCAGCTGCTTCCATCCCAAACTCCCCCGCTCCCAGGTGGATTCCCTCAGCCTTGGGGGCCAGGTTTGCTGAGCCCCAAAGCAGGAAGGTGTAGCCACAGTCACCAAAGCCCCCTGCACATGTGTCTCTCACCTTGGGCTGGCTGGCCCCACCCACTTTAGCCTAAGGGCTTCTCTCTCAGGATCTCAGATTTTACTGTCCCCACCTCACTGGGCTCTGGAGCTGGGGTGCCTGTGGGGCTTGGCCATCTTACCCATTCACTTGCTAACCAGCCAGGGCTCTGCCCACTGTCCACAAAGACGTCCACCTCTGGTCGCCTTCCCCTGCTCCCTGGAGCTAGATACAGACTTGCCCTTGGACTCTGACCCAGAGTATCACTTTGTTTTTGTGGCCACATCTGTTCAAGGTCAGTGTTGTCTGCACAGCTAGGACAAGAATCAGCCACTCTCTCATGAAGGGAAGGCAAAGACTTGGGGCCGGTGGGAAGATGTTTTACAAAGTGCGCCAATAAAACTGCTCTGGAAAGGGCCTAGGTGGGTGTCAAGGCTGAGTACTTTTCATTGGTGGGCAAAGGGAAAGAATTGTCCCCATGTGGTGACCTCCTGTTAGGGCAGCAGGACGCTATCTCCTCTGCCAGTTGCTGCTGTAGGCATCTTTGTTCTTGGGCCTCATTCTCCTTAACTCTCAGAGGAGATCAGGTCTCCGAGTCATCGACTCCCAGCCCTGTTCATATGTGCTTTGTAGAATTCTGTATGTCCATAGAGGGGAGGGAGCTTTTCTTAAATTTCGTGTGAATGGGTGCTCTGCCTGCCATGTGTTCCTGATGTCCAATCGGGCCAGACAGGGTGTTAGGTGTCCTGGAGTCAGAGCTCCTTGAGTCACCCCGAAGATGCTGGGCTTTCTGGAAGAGCAGCCAGTGATCTTAACACCGCGCGTTTCTCCAGCCCTTTTCAGGTGGGGGTGGGGGTGTGGGCGTGTGCACTGAGTGCCGGCTTAGCCGGAGATGCCAGGTCCTCCTGCAGGAGAGGTTACCGGTGGTTGTGAGCTGTCTGAAATGGCAGCTGGGAACTGAACTCTGGGAGAGGACCCCGGGATTTTCAGCCCGCCGGCTCAGTGAGAGAGACTGATGGCGCCCTGGGGTTGGGAAACTGGAGAGGAGAGGCAGCCATGGTTCTCCCTTTCCCCTCCCCTCTGACCTGGGTCTCCACTCCTCATCTTTTTTTTTAAGTTGAAGCGCTGCTCACTGCTGAAGTGTGAGCTCTCGCCCTCCTCGCGAGCTTGAGTTTCTGACACAAAACCAAGTCAGGGATCCTACTGCCTCTGTCTCCAGAGTGCTGGGAGGAAAGGCCTG